GTGCGCGTCGTGCGGCCCCCTACCTCAAACTCGCCCCACGCCACGCGAGCGGATTGGCGGGGGAGCAACGCGAGAGGAGATGTGTACCCGCAGGCTATATACCGGAGAGAGTATCCTCTCTTTTTCCTCCAGTCTCGCTCCCTCTCGCGCGCACTTCCTCTCCTACTCTATTTCGTTTCCTCCCTCTCTCTCTTCCTCTCTCACGTTACCTCTTGCTCGCACCAGCCTCCCCCTCCCCTCTGCTCCACGCGCCTCTCATCTTTCTCTTTTTCGTCCTCCCTCTTTCCCTTTTTCTCAGCGTTCGACCACCAACGGCAATGTTCGCAGGACTAACGCGTGTAACGTCCCCGGGTATCGGGCGCGGGATGAAAGGATATCCCCTTTTGTCCACGGCGTTCTCTCCACGGCGGCATCCTCGATGCCCGACTCGCGAATGAATGCGCGCGGATTGTCCTGGACGTATTAGGTGTCATCGGAGCGAGCGGACCGTGGACCCGAGAAGAGGTGCCGCGCGACGAGGAGGCGCGCACACCGGTCGGTCGCCGCGCCGCAGGAGCAACGATGCGCAAGCGCGAGTGCGCATAAGCGCAGGAACGGCGGATTACGCCCGTCGCGGATACGCGCATTCGCGCTACGCGCGCCGACGCGAGCGTACCTGCCGCGCGCGCTACGCTCGTCCTCCCTCGAGCCTCCGACGGTTGAGACATCGACCGCGCGAGAGGGGAAAGATCGGGAGGAAATGGGGGTCGTCGGGTATCGATTGATTTTTAGAATTGAACAAAGCAAATCGGAGCGCCATTTCGATCGACTGTATTTCGTTTCTCCCCGCTAACGTGACCCGGACTACGCGCCATCGGGAGACACGGTGAAATTACGTCGAGGTCTATTCGGGAATTTGACGTAAACGTTGGCCAACGCCGCCAGAAACTCGATCCGCTGACTCACTATCGATCCTCCACTATCGACGAACACGCGCGAACTCTAGCGGCCCCGGGCCGAAAATCGCATCTCCGGTCTCGTTGCGAGAAAAAGAGTCTTACGGTGAAATCTCCGCCGAATCTCTATCTCCATTCATTCCCGCCGCGAGAGACGACGGGCTTCTTTTTATCGATTTTCGTACGGGACACCTCGTGTGCGCGTTACGGCGAGGTAACGTTATTTTCCGTGAATCGTTCCCCCGGCTCCCTTCTTCCCGCGCGGTCGTTAATCGGCCGCGCGAAGGTTGATGAAATCCACAGAATCCCAGCCGCGTTCTGCGAACGGACGATTTTAAAGATGATCTCACGAAGAATGTAATTAGAAGCGGCGTGTGTGTAAAGCGATTTGTTAGGCGCGTTTATCTAATTGCAAATCGATAGTCCATTTATCAGATTTATAGATTATAGCGCCGATACGTACGTAATTACTATGCAAAGTTGTCGTAATGGCGCGAGGTGCCGTCGCGTCTTATCTTTTCCCCTCGGAGAATCTCGAAAAATTATTCGATCTGGCGCGGCGGTCCTCGGTGTATTTCGCGCATAATTCATCCGATTAAATCGCCCGTCCTTGCGAGATACCCGCGCGCGTCATCCTCTCCTACGAAAACACGCAGAAATCTTCTCGGCGGCCGGACGCTCGTTAATTGTCAGCGTTCGCCGATAAACCTCGGCGCGGCGTCCAGGAAGTTAACCGACATTGTCCCTCCTCTGGGCCCGCTATTCGTACGTAGGTATACGTTCATACGGCGCATCGTCTATATTTACGACTGAGAGGAGTCGATCGGGTAGACGAGAGCAGCCGTAAAGCACCACCCGGCCAGCGGAGCCCCGCGCGATGTACTCGCGGGAGATATCCGAGACGATGTATCCACCTCGGCTCACCTTGCTTCACCTTGGCTCGTCGAACGCCAAGGGGAGGGGAATTCGGTTCAGCGAACCGTGCGCACGACGAAACTGGTACTCGCTAGCCGTCGGGATCTTTCTCTCTCGCGAGAGATCGGTGCCATTGACACTGACATAATAACTCACCGCGACCGCGTTTGTCGGAGTCACGACGTACGAATGAAATTGCCGCCGATGGTATAATGCTTCTTGCATAAGCGCCGGAGAGAGAGCGGAGATCGAGCAGTGGTACCACGGAAGAGAGAAAGTGATAGAGAAAAAGGGACAGAGAGAGAGAGGGAGAGAGCGGACGCGGGCGCAGAGCGGGGTGACGAGAGGGGAGAAAGTGAAATGAGAAAGAGAGAAAGACACTGTCGAGCACAGACAGTGAACTTGACCTGGATCTCGGTCAGGGAGAAAGAATGATCGTGGGCTTCTGTAGAAAGGAGAAAGGAGGCGGAGAAAGAGCGAGACCGAGGAAATTACTTTCGATTTCGAGCTCTCGGGGATCGGTTACACTTTCTCCCTCGTCCGCCGCCGCGCGGTGAGACCGTTTCTTCCCCCCCGACCTTTTCGATACGCTCGCGACATATCCGGGCAATCATTGTGTCTCGCCTTCGTTCTGCGATGGACCGCCGCGGCCGGAATCTTGAAGGGACTCGCGACTTGATGAAAATACGCGAAACTTTTATCGACATCCCCTGTCGCCGCTTTCCCGTAACAATGCGTGTCTGCTGTCACGGTGATTCGAGAAATCTCACGTGACGTAACGTTGACACGTTCGCGGAAAGCGTCGGTCGACGGTTTAGAACTATTTGGTTACGCGGTGTATCGTGGTGCACTTGATGCAAAAGTACCATGGATGGGAATCGTAAAATTCGAGTTTGATGGAGTCGTCTACGTGTAAACGGCTGGTGGAATTTGTCACGGGCCGTCACATTGATAGCAGGCAGCGAGTTTACTGTCGTCCAAATTACGACACCGCTATCTCGCGTAGGAATTACCTAATTGGACCGAAAAGGATGCCGCTCTTGTCGCCGCGTCGCTAATACATGACGTTTTAACACGCAACGCGTAGACTGCACTTAGCACACGGTTGAAAATTCGAAATGATGCAACGTAATGGTACGCAACGGTAACGCGGTAACCGCGTGTGTATTCGGTACCGGAGACAAATGTCCGCGCCGGTAATTTCACGGCATTCGTACACTCTTAGTCTTGTATCGCGTGGTACCGCCAAACTCGAGGTACGCGTTAAAATAAAAAGTATACGTAATTATGAGTTACATTGAAATCCACCAAAATAGGAGGGAAGATACTTTTTCCGGTATGTCAGCACGAGGTACAAGATATATGAGATAATAATGAATATATAACGATCAGTTGGAGGTACCGTTCGAGGTACCGTCTTTTAATTTCGAGGTACTATCTTCCCTCCTATTTTGGTAGGTTTTTATACACCTCATAATTACGTATACATTTTATTTTAACGTGTGATGACGTGTGAGACTGAAAAAATTGTGTCTAATGTGTCTAATGCGTGTAAATAATTATCCACTTCGCGTCAGTTCGAGGATTGAGTATTAGATTCCGTTCAATGGTCAAAGGAGCATCGATAGATTCTAAAGATTACAACACTACGGAGTGGAATCAAAGCTGATCGTGCGAAAGACATGTCGTGACTGAGCAATTATATTAGATTGACACGCACTAATAGCCGCGTTTGACTCTCACAACCTAAATCCTTTTTTAATTTCAGGAATCCAGTCGCTTGTTTAATTTTTCGTATTTTTCACACCTTAGATTAAAATTATTAGGCTACCTACATCTTGCTCGGACCAAAAAATAGCATCCCCGGTTCTTACTCGATTTGTATCCAATGGTTCTGACTTAACTCTTCTTCCTCTTAAACCTAAACCTAAGGGAAACCATATAGTGTAATAAATACATGAGAAAAAGGAAGCCAAGGTTAGAATATATAAAAACTGTGTTCGACCAATCATGACGTATGCGGTAGAAACAAGAGCGGAAACCAAGAATATAGCCCGCACGACAGAGATGTGGATTCTCCGAACCATCCTGGGAAAGACACTCAGAGACAGAGTACCCAACGTGATGATCAGGGAAACCTGCGATGTTCCCGGGTAAGACAGAGAAGACGTGAATGGAACAATCACGTATCCAAAATGGGGGAAGAGAGAATAGCAAGAACAGCAAGAGATGGGAAACCATCATCTAGAAGACCCCCAGGAAGACCCCCAGAGAGATGGATGGACAGTTGGACATCCGGATCAAAGAGACGAATTAATCGGAAAAACAGGCTCAAGCCTAATTTAAAAGGATTTAGCTCTATTCGTATAAATGATTTTCGTATGTTATAAGTTTAATTCCGCAGCAAAGCTCGTAATAGCCACAGCAAATCTGCGAGAGGGTATTTATATGCCTTTGTGCGATACAATAAGCTTTTAATCTGTTAAACTGCTTCCTTCCCAAATATCTAATTCTACTAAAGAAGAATAATCCCTCTTGGTTGCCGGAGTAAAAGAATACTCCGGTGTACTAATTCTATTAACGATTCTATAGAGATAAGTTAACTTCTCGTCTCGATTGGGTTGTGCTCCGTATTCCACGGAGAAGCCAGCCGCTCGGCGAGACGAGCGTCTCTCGATATTACTCGGAGCGGGCACGACAAGTCGACGAACGGCCTTGCGACATTTGCCGTGCGGCGAACTTGGCGACTCCGTTCGCCGGGCGTTACGTATCGACGTACCCGCGATTCACCGGCGAGATGCCGGCGCGGTCCCGTTCCCGATGGGATTACAGAGCGGCTCTCACGGACGGATAGGTCAGATATTACAACCGCGCAGTCAGCGCGAGTCCTCGGCTTGTTGCGCGCCGGCCC